GAATTGTTAGAATTAATTTACAAGTTTGTGATTAGTGATAAAGAAATCAGCCATGGATTTGTAACTTATATTTTATATCATCAAAGGTTAAATGTTAAAGGTACTTGGATGAGAAATTATGAGAATATTTCGGTAGGGTAAAATTACAAAAATACCCTTATGTTGTAGGATGACAAGAATTGTCCTTGGAAGTTGGTTAATAACTCTGAAAAGACATATTGATCCGATATAAATATTGATGTGCATAAGAAATGTTAGTTTTACTTGGAAATTATGGATAACCGATTTTTAATCATATAAGGGTTTGTGAAGGATACTAGAAGTCTGATAAGCGAATCATTTCAAGATCAGAGAGTGTTCAAGAAAGCAATTAATCATAGGATCTCTAAATTATATTATTTTCGTTAAGAGTTAATATCGAAATTATCTGGTTAAGAAATTACAGAAATGCTCTTGAGAGGTAAAATAGTCCGAGTTGACCCTGAATGAGAAAGTACTTTGAAGATTTATACTTAACTTGATTAAGCACGAAATTGTTTGTTAAGATTCTGACTTAGTGCAGAAAAATTCATGATATTCCGTTTGTAAAATCTGAGAAGGCACTTGACCCGAAAATATTCGAGTAATGAGTAAATACCTGAAGAATAATTTATCGGGGGTATTATGCTGTCAGAATTGTTCGAAAGAACTGAAATAAATTATAAAATTGAATTTAATAGTAAGATCGGACGGAAGAAAATGATTAGAATACACTTAATCTGTAGAATGACCAAAATACCCCTGTAATGAAAATGACCCAAGAATACCACCAAGCTCAGGAATGATTGGATATCCTCGAGCTCTGAAATGAATGGAATAAAATTGAACACCAAAATTACCAAAATACCCTTATAGCCTATACTAAGTAAATGTCTTAGATTAATTAAAGAATTCAAATAAGCATAAGTGTGGGACTACCTTTAAAAGTTATGGAACACAGCTTAAGTGAGCCAATCAAACCTAAAGCTATGTCAATACATGAATGGCATATATATTATTGGAATGCGTATTCGTATTCTCAAGTTTTGCTCTATGATAAATTTTGGAAGTATTCATCTCAACTCAACTCTAGGTCGCATTTAGTACTAAGAATTTGAAGTTTGTTCGACAAATCAACCACGAAGACCAAATTGAATGGAACGAAAGTACAACATGTATATGAAATTCAGGAACATTTGAATTACTCTGGAAAATCTCGAAGTAACTCGAATGGACTTGAATGCTAAATAAATTAAGTAACCTCAATGAATGAGGATTAAATAAGTGATTTGGATGAATCTGGAAATGTTAATGAACATACATGATGTAATGTTTTTATGGATCATGAATTACAAATCAAGCACGTCAGCATTTCATGATATAGTGAAAGCGTGAATATGAAATAAAGACATTGGAAGATTTTTTTAGCGATGATTCCGAAGGTGATATATGGACTAGAAATTATGGTATTAAAGAGTAAATATCCTGGAAGAACAATGAATTGACCAATCAATAAGCATTAGTTCTAGGAACTATTCATCTAAGAGTTGTTCGATAATCAGATCAAACGACATATTTTGTATAAAGATTCTTGAACACTTTCTTGATGCACATGAGTCATATCGGAATTCTAAAGTATCAACCTTAAATATCGGATTAGATTGGTTAGCAATCGATTCCCTTCAATAGGACCTCATTTTTAGAATCTGATCAAATTACATCAGTTTCTCTGAGAAATACTTGGATATCCTAATGTGTTCCACATGTACCACATGACGATTTTATATGTTTTTAAATGAGTTTCACCGAAACTATTGATTTACTAGTTTATGAACCATGACAACATGTTATATGTTTTCCGATTACGGGTTTTATCGAAAAATATGAATTATTCATGATTTATGACATCATGGAATCGACTGGTTTTATGAACTATGTTTACTTGAAATATGTTATCAAGTTTCCTATTTTCATTGGAAAATATGATCTTGATAAATCACATACTGAATATTTTTATGAGACAATACCCGATGTTCTGAATACAGTTTATTTTGATATCTGATTTACCACATATATTGATATGGTTTCTGGTTACGGTATTTTTGTACATGATTTCTAAATATGGATTAATTACTGTTACAGTTCCCCCAGGTCCCTTTGCTGTGTGCAAGGGTAAGCCTTACAGTTCCCCAGGTCCCTTTGTTGTGTGCAAGGGTAAGTCTTACAGTTCTCCAGGTCCCTTTGTTGTGTGCAAGGGTAAGCCTTACAGTTCCCCAAGTCCCTTTGCTGTGTGCAAGGGTAAGCCTTACAATTCCCCAGGTCCTTTTGCTGTGTGCAAGGGTAAGCCTTACAGTTCTCCCAGGTCCCTTTGCTGTGTACAAGGGTAAGCCTTACAGTTTTCCCCCAGGTTCCTTTGTTGTGTGTAAGGGTAAGCCTTACAGTTTCCCAGGTTCCTTTAATGTGTGCAAGGGTAAGCCTTACAGTTTCCCCAGGCTCTTTTGCTATGTGCAAGTATAAAACCTTATCGTTTTTGCATGCTCCTATGCTTTGTGCACAGGGTAAATATGTATCTTTTCACTAGTTTTACGGGAACACACTAGATAACATATTCTGATCTCCAGAACCTAAACATTCGAAATATATTTCCCTGAACTAAACGCTTATTATCTGTTACTACCTGAAATATCTGTAAGATCTATGCTCAATATAAAGATCTGTAGATGTCTGAACTAATAAGGAAATATATGTTTATCGGTATCTGCACGTTCTTCAGCATCATCTGGTAGTTCTATATTACTGAGCTTTTCAAAGCTCACTCTATTACTCACCATTGCAGGTTAGAAGAATTAAACCAGTGCATCTATCGACTTCAGTAAAGGAGTTCTTCAGACGTTGTTGCAGAGTATGGTACATGTGATTAGGGAGCATGTAATTGCATTTTATTTTAAATACGAGTCAGAAAATCTATTTTATTTCTGAATAGTGATAAATGATTTTATAAGTTACATGTTTTAATAAAAGTTTTAAATTTTCCGCTATTTTTATAATGGGTCGCTCTGGTGGCCCTAATATGACACTCCAGATCAGATCGGATTACCCGCATCGGTATAAGAGGGTTACACCTTATCTATCCATCAAAAACCTCTTTCAGTGCTTTTTGTTCATCGTTACAAGGGCTGCTAATGTCTGTCAACTGTTCCAACTGCCACGCGCCGCTGCAGCTTCCGCCGGCTGCAAAGTCCATACGGTGCTTCCTCTGCCAAGCTATAACCCTCATAGTCAGACCTCGTTCCCTACCCTTTCCCTCCTCTTCTACCCACACACTCTCTCCTCCGTTACCTTACAACCACGTGCCACCCGGACGCCCACCGCAGGTCCATGGCCGGAAGCGCGCTGTTATTTGCGGCGTGTCTTATAAGAACACCCACTATGAACTTAATGGTTGTATTAACGGTGCCAACTGCATGAAGTTCTTTCTGGTTCATCGCTTCAATTTCCCCGAATCCTCCATTATTACCCTTACAGGTAACAAGAAAAAAAATATTTTCACCAAGTTATTTCTGGAAAATTTCCAATTGTTGAGTTCATATGGAATATGTTTGATAATTGGGGACTGCTTCTGATCTGAACATTTTTGCAGAAGAAGAAACTGATCCCTACAAGCGCCCGACGAAACGCAACATTAGAATGGCGTTGCGTTGGCTTGTCCAAGGTTTCAGCCTGGAGATTCCTTGGTGTTCCATTACTCTGGTCATGCATGGCTCACAGCAAAAGGATGACAATGGAGATGAAGTGGACGGATACGGCGGAACCCTTTGTCCGTCGGATTTCGAATCTCAGGGAATGATCGTCGATGATGAAATCAACGCCACGATCGTTAGGCCTCTACCGCATGGTGTTAAGCTTCACGCCATCGTCGACGCTTGCTCCTTCATTGAAGCCGGAACTTAAGCCGAGATCATCCGGAGTTGTAAAATGTTGAGTTTATACCGTGTGAAACAGGCCTTATCAAAGATTACTTCTACCGGTGCAATGGCTTACTCCTTCATTGAAGTCGTCGAGCGCGGGCACGCAACCACATACGGTAACATGCTGAACGCGATGCGTTCCAACATCCGAAAATCGGACGACGACGGCTTCGTTACAACTCTTCTCACAATGCTATTATCCGGAGAGAGACTGGGCGGCGATAGAGACAGGTGTCACCAAACATGTTCAATTCAATCCAACCACCGTAAAGAACAAATCTCTATTGACGTTAGATGTTGTGTTGCAGGAACCGCAGTTGACTGCCAATGAAGCATTTGATGTGTATGAAAAACCATTCGCCATATAACTTGATTCTTTTGAGGCCAATGGGGTTACAATCCATTATTAACTGAGACATTTGTAGGCACAACAAGCCAAGCTCATGGACTCTCAGATCGGCAAAATTACTACTATATGGAATAAATTTACTATCCCATCACATGGTCACAACTTCCTTTTTTTAAAAAAAAAAAAAATCCAACCAATTTTCTTTCTTTTCAAGTATCCCCATTAGAAAATTTCTTTAAATAAAAAATATATTTAGGTTTGTTAAAACCTGAATCTCTATGTTAACTGGATACGGAGATGTGTATGGTAAATGTGTTCTACTTTCTTTGTAGAATAACAGTGTTTAAAATATTTTATATTTATAATTTTTTTTGGCAAATGAAAATTTTATATGTTCGTATATAGTGTAATTAATTATAACTGGAATATATATGAACTACGTATTTTAGAGAAAAATATCATTAAGATAATAAATAAGAAACATTTATCAACTGTTTATTTTCTGCAGATGTTAATCCATGTGTTTACTTATTTCTGCTGATTTGAGGCTAATTTCATTACTTTCTGTTAATGTCATGAACTAATCTCCTTCAATAATATCAGTAAAAGTTCTCTCTGGGTATCTTAACAGTGACCTAAATAAATTACAAAGGATACTATAGCATGTTGTAAACGATTGCTTCACATGCTATTACCTTAATGGAGATGTCTTGAAAGACAAAAGACCTTGAAGATCTGAAACCATTAAATTCCCAGCGGTCGGGGGTCCGAAAACGTCCCAAAATCGAAGTGTCTCGTCTGCCCCCGCGGATATCACTGTGATTCCATCCGGGCTCTACGCCAAACAAACATGGAAACCTTCAAATTTTCATGCAGTTTTCCGAATAATTTTTCAGAAAGTTAGAACAGTTAAAACCTGGCATAGATTGATAATTCTGGATTTGTGATTCCCTAGCTCCCCTACTTTGGTCATTGAAGGGTACTTCCATAGGCACAGTTTGTTTTGAGTCTCCCTTATGCTGTATCCATGGCCACTCAGTATCTCCTTGTGATGCCTGTTCCACTCCAACCCACAGATCTGTCCATGTAAATCAAATGGTTAATGCATATCCACAAAGCATAGCTGCAGTTTCAATCCTAAAAGCAAACCCTTCAAAATGATGAGAAGTTTGTAGCTATGTATGTAACTCGGGCTCGAGTGTGATCAGACCTATGTCCCAAACATAAGTATGTTCAATCCTTTTATGGTTCTAATTTACCTGTGCTTTGGTTTCTATGCTGCTAATGCAGACCCCTTTTTGTGTATTCCATATCTTAATACAACCATCACTCAAGCCTCCCCCAGAGGCAAGAACATTGTACTGGTAAGGGCACCAGGCGAGAGCCTTGACGGCTGCACAATGATCACTGAGTCGATGTAGAAATTTCGATGAACTCATTTTGGAACCTTCCCAAATGTATAACAGATTTTCATTGCCTCCACTAGCCAATCTATTGCCTTCAGTTGACCATTTCAAGCCACACACCTCATCAGCATGCTGTTTTATGCAGGAAGCCATGTTGTTTGGTGCTCTAACTGCAAGTCAGAACGTATATTAAGAGAAATTTCCGGTAAATGTTAAGATCATTCAGTGTAAGGGTAAGTATTCTGATACCATCATGATTAATGATGGATTTGTCACGGCTTCCTGATGTTAGAATGCGACCGTTCCATGCCGTGGATGCTATCCTTCCACTATGACCGTCAAGGTTTCTGATCTGTAATGTTCACATATCCATAGTTCATACTTCTAAGCAAACTTCAAAGAGCGTCAAAACAATCAATCAATCAAGCTTGACAAGAGAGAGAGAGAGAGAGAGAGAGTACAAGTTTGGAAGACTCGGCGTCCCAGAGCTGGAGACTGGAGCACATATATCCAACGGCTAGAATTCTAGCATCCTCAGACCATGTTACACTCGTAGGCCAATCATTCCCGCCACGAACCTGAAACAACTTGTGTACTCTCTGGTCCTCGGAGTTCCATAAGTAGAGCTCCGGACCCAAGGCGACAGCAAGAATGTTGTTGTTACCCCAACTCATGATGTTCGCATAGTAGTCATTTCTAAGCCTAGGTGCATCCAAGACCCTTTTTTCTCCCTGCACCCACACATGTCACAGTTCACATCTAGGAGGCCATAGATTTCATTCAAGAAAATATTAAGATGGTTGTTACAAACTTAGATGTATTGTAACTACTTGTTTTCAAGATGCCTCCATCCGACACTCGACGTATCGTCATTTACCGGTCACCCCGTCCGTATGCAATTACATCAAAGGTATTGTTTTTTTTTTGGTTTTTTTTGGGCATCCTTCAGTTCCTCAAGGATTTGTGTTGAGACAAGTAGCTTGGTCAATGAAAGGGTCTCTCATACACGAGAAAGTCCTCGGCTCAAATCAAGGGATGCATGTCCTTGAGAGTTGAGAGGCTGGTGGATGTCCATAAAGAACAATACCTGGAATGTAAGCACACAACCAAACCCCGACGCACAGGGCGATGGGAGTAGGCATCTCAGAATCCCATGGGGAAAATCTTGGGGAGGATGAACCGAGATCATTTGTACTAACTAGAATCGAAGACACAACAACAGGGAGGATGAAACCGTGTGGCATTGAATTGAATACCTTAGGGATGCATCTGTATGGAGTTCGTTTGCAATCCTTATCAAATATCGTTGCAACTTCTTGTCTCAACTCATCAACAAAACGAATAGGTTTTCGACTCCATTTCGGGCTTCCCCTGAACACCATAATCTTAAATGGTCTCCCTTGAGAATCTAAAGACAGATTCTCAATCAGTTTCTGACGATATGCTTCCTGCCAACCAATCAAGATTAAAAGACGAAAAACAAAATCAAATTAGAAGTAAAATCTCTCTCAAGATTTTCACTATCTTTATTCAAGATTCTTTATAAAATTTCAGAATTCCAAAACAAATGGTGAAAACGTACGTTGAAACTCGAACCAGTGTTGAACTGCGTGGTCCTGTTTGTCAGCAAACCGTGGGCTCTATCAAGATCCATCAGACTTCTGTTTGGTATAAAGCGATCGCCCTTTTGCAAATACATAAACCCAAAAAGGAAAAAAAACAAATTGATTCAAGAAAGTAGTAGATTACTAATAATTACAGAACATTGAATGAAAAACTGGGTGATTCTTGAAAGGGAAGAGAAAGATGAATGGTTACCGGAAAATCGTATTGAATGGGACTGTCGTGGAGTCGTCTTGGAGAGTACCAATCCGATTGAAGGAGTCTCCACCTTGCGATTTCATCATCCATTTTTTATTTTTTGTGAATTCAAGGATTCAAATTCTTCATGGACTCTTTGGTTTTTCTTTGTGCGCCAAGTAACAAACTACAAGGGAGGCTTTGATATTCTCTCTATCGCGCGCCAGAAGGACCCAACCTTGCTATCGTATCGTTCAAACGGTAGGCCTTTTAAACTTATTATTTTAACCCTTCAAATATTTATATAGATTTATCGGTTAAATTACTCATTTTAATTCTTTTTTTTTCAATCGGATTAATTTGAATTTTGAAAATTTTTATTATTTCGAAATTGAGACACATATAGGGGAGAATTACACACTACGTAGACAAATGACAAATCCCAAGAAAGAACCTTTCTTTTCTACAATCAATTCACTTAAACAATATAAACTTCTTTTAAATCGAAGGTTGTTCTATTGCAGAGTTTATACATGTAAACATTTAGAGATTGGAAGAACTGGAAGTCATTCATGCAGGCTTGGAGTTCACTACTGGGTTTCATATGGATATCATTGCTTTAAAGAAAAGATTATGTATGCTTCACATACTAGGATTGTGTTCTTTTGCTGATAATTCCCTTCAATCTTTCATGAAAACAACAGCAAATGTCTAAAATGGACCCAGTTTTTTCAACTTGTCTAAACATGATTCCCCTGTTAATTGACTCTGCAACTTCTCTTTGCTATAACAGGAAAGGCAAAAGAATCTGCAGTTGCCTTTGGCCATGGCCTTAGCCTTCTTAGTGCAACATGACATGAGTCAATATATAATTTGTGGGCACCGGTTCGGTAATGAAGCAATTTAAATAAGGTGTGCAGTCAATTTCTGGGGAACATATGAGAATGTTTTTCGGATTAGAGAATCTAAGATTGAGCAGTTGTGTATGCAGGTTATTTGTATGTTATCAGTATTTCTTTAGGATATTTGTATGTTGTCAGTACATTAAAAAAATACCGTTATATAACTAAAGACACAGATATTCATTTCTGAAATTTTTTATTGGAACAAAAACGACAAGCGGTCTCTATCTACAATTAAGGTGGAGCCTGATAGAAAATTATGGCCTAACACAGAGAAATCACAATTTTCATGGGGGAAAAAAGAAGCAACAGTCTAACAAAGCAGAAAAGAAACTACAAACTCCGGAAACGGCTTGATACTCAGTTGCCATTACAAGTACAAACGTGTGGCTTCTCAGATTCCACATTAGCTGTGATTGAGGATTCGTTTGAATCAGAGAGAACATCGGAAATGAACTTTATCAAAGAGCAGAGTCCACCCAAGAAATTATGATCGATAACACCTTTACCTTCCAGAACGTGAGCAAAATCTATGAGTTTAACTTGAGCTGCTGGAGTGCTTCCTTTCAGAACAGATTCCTTATCAAATAAGATGAGAAGTGAACATGAGTGAAAATGGTAAATCGTTTGATCCTCAAACCAAGCTTTCAGCTCCAATAATTGTTCTAAAATCCCTGTAGAACCACCATATATGCTAGGAGCAAAAGAACAATCTGGCTTCTCGTTACCAATAGAAGAATTTGATGAAACGAATCTTCTCAGAACTGATCTAACATCATCAACCGTAAACGACTGGACTTCCTTCCTACCAGGCTTCCAGAATCCTGATTCCTTTCCCTCGTATAGCTGCAATCCGGATATCCTAAAACCTAGGGACACAGTGGTGGTTCTTCCATCCTTCTCAAGACACTTTTTGATGTAGTCATCAGTTGCTCCAGGGTACCATGTTCTGGAACCAATCTTAACATCCAAGATGGATGGATTAATACGACCTGAGACTATATCTTGCAAGACAAGGTGGAGGCACAAGCCAGATCCGTTTGATGCCTCCAAAAGTTGACTGCCATAGAAAACAGGGAAAAATCTGCGGATGTGGTCTGGAACCCGTGTATCCGAAGAAAAAGTTTCAAAGAAAGCCAGCTCCTTGGAGCCACGTCCATCACCCTGGAGAGGCTTGTAGAAGTGTCCCGAATCATCTACAAGGGGGCCAAGCTTTCCATCACTGACTAGGTGGCCTGCAACCTGGTGCTCTGGCGCCTTAAACATGATGTAGAAACTAGAATGCGCAATTGACCTGATAATATGGATGAATCTTCATTCAGTATTAACTTTGTTTCATCAATAAATTAAAGATGATCATCAGAATATCGAGGCATTTGAATGCCACTTCAAGGATAGCACCTTTAAAAGCTACAGTCTCAAGAGATGCGAATTTATTGCCATAAAAGCCATAGAAAAAAGATATTTTAGCACATTTACAGACAGTCGATCGTGCTACTAGAAGACGGCTAAAATGCGATGAGAAGCAAACAACCTAATACCAATTACTGAGGAACATTGACTCCTTCATGTTTGTAGAACAGGGCATAACCAATTACTCCCTATCTTGTGAAGCAAATATGCATAGCAAAACCCATAAATTCTTTAAAGAAAACAGGGGAAAATGAGCGCAAGGAAAACAAATAGTTTGAAGTTCACTACTTATTCTATTCATACAAAGTCTAAAACTTATCAACTACAGCTAAAAACCTTGGGGGAACCCTTATTTCCATGTTATACAAACATTCTTCAGCGACAATTAAACGAAAATTGCATAAAAAATATCAAATTAACTAAGGGATATTTGGCCAAATTTGAGTTCATGTAACGAATCCATATCCATAAGGCATCCTGTAGCTCTCGCATGTTGATTACCCATTCAATGTACTTAACAGCAATTCCAAAATTTCTCTTTTGAGGAAGAAAATCAATAAAATATGGGTCTTCAGAATTACTTAGCTGTTCAAGAAAAAGCTATCCAATAAATCTAACCGACTAATAAAAAACCTTGAGACCGGATCTAATATCAAATACAAAGAATCTAGTAAACCCCAAAAAAGAATACTCACCACAAAATGAGAATCTGCAAAATTGAAAGAGATCGACTCAGAAAAGGGGGGAAATATAGGAATCCAAAGATGGTGAGATGGAATATGATTGGAATAAGTTTACGTATATTATAAGGGTGTTGAATTGAAATCTAGAGCAAAAATAGGTCTGAATCCAGTGGATGAACGTTGGGTAAGACTATTAGCTTCAGAAGCAAGCTAAATTATATCTTAACTCTTTATTTATGTGTAAACTACCGAAATTGTCACTTCTTTATAATTGTTCATTTTCGTCACTGAATTTTAAAATAATAATATTTTGATCACTTATAATATATTATAAGGTTTAGGTTTATATCATTAAAATAATAATATTTAATGCTTCAACGACCAAACCATCATAAAACGACAATGTAAATGATCAAAATATTATGCTTTCAAATTTACTGACTAGGATTAAACACTTATGAAACTAAAGTGTCTGTTTGTATACTTCACCCATTTTAATTGCTTTTTAGGTGTTTTCCCTTTCATTCCTTTCTCAGCTGAGTTGTCCAGAACATGGTTTTCAGAACCGGATCTATTAGCGAATCGATCATGTTATCGATTTATTAGTTTAATCGGTCGAATTGGTTTGACCGGTCGGAAGAACCGGATAATGTCATAATTATTTAAAAAAATTAAATAAAAATATCAAAAATATTTAATAAAAAATAATTTTTTATATCACAAGTCATATTCAAAGCAAGTCATAACATATATAAGTTAAAAACCATAAAATCAAGTGAAACAAAATGATTCAAATTAACTACAACATAATATTTAAGGTAAAACATATTAAATAATAAATATAATTATATAACTATAATTAAAAAATAAATTTAGGGTTAAAAAAATCATAACAAAATTATATAACTATAATTATATAACTATTCTTTAACTTTAACCAAGCTCGAATTTTAGGCTTCAATCGAGCTTCTAATTTTTTTTTTTGAGTTCAAGCCTTTTTGAGTTCAAGTTTCAATATTATATTTCGAGTTTGAGTTGAACTTGATAATTTTTAGCTTGTGAGTTTGAGTTGAGTTGAGCTTACTTTTAAAGTTTTCAAGTTCGAGTCGAGTTCAGCAATACTCGAGTTTGACTTTGCTCGTTTAACAAACGACGTTGTTTGGTTTAATTTTTTTTTTTAAAAAAACAAAAATCCCGGTTTTTTCCGATTTTCAGCCGGTCTGGTTCGAACGGTTCAACGGTTCTGGCCGGTTCACTAATAACGGTTCAACCGGTTTAAATTAAACCGGACTAAACAACGATTTCTGATTAAACCGATTAAACCAACCGATCCGGTCCAATTTTCAAAACAGAGGTCCAGAAAAGGGAATTCGCTTTTGGTGAGAGATTGACTTATGGGGAAAATAAACTCAAAATTCTCTTAAAAAAGGGTTTAATAATCTTGCTAAGTAGCGATATGCGATTCACAGAAGCAGAATGTACATATTCTGTTTTCTTTGAGTTCTAGCCAAATTTGTTCAAGTATTGTGATTCGCATTATTCCTATTCGTTTTTTTTTAAATTAATTTAATTTAATTAATTTTTATTTTATTATATATTTACAATACAAGTAATTAAAACAAAAACGTACGTATATAATTGTACAAATCAAACTATCTCGGTTGTATATGGATGATTATTATTTTTAAAGGTTTCGACGATTGTTAGGGTATTTGTTATTATCTATTGAAGTTTAAGATTTGAACACCACGTACCACTTAGAGGTGTACATAGTTCAATTTTTCAGTTTCAGACTGTTTATTATTTTTTAAACTAAACTTCTATAAAAGTAAATTTAAAGTTTAAATCGAGTGTAAATATATAAATATAAATTTATAAAAAATATTACTCATTTTAATATTTTATTTTTTAAAATTTATCTTATAATAAATTCAAAATAAATTTATTTAATCTCAAGGGTGTGTTTGGTTGGGGAAATGTGAGATTCCCATGGGAATGAAATCAACATTCCCCTGTTTGGTTGGGCCGGAAATATCATTCCCGGTAATCTTACATTACCAATAGTGGATTTTTTGAGTATATTACCGGGAATGTCATTACCTCTCTTTCCTTAGGTATTGTTGGATTACCGACGTTTTGAACTAAAATGCCCTTAAAAAAATTTTCTTTCAAAAATATATTTATTCTGTCATTGAATAATGAAAATTTTATGAAGGTTAAATTACAAATTTATCCTTAAACTATTTTAGATTTATAAAAAAAAATCTATAATTAAAATTTTATATGAAGTTCAAGGGTTAAAATAAAATTTTACCCTTTCATTAAACCTTTTTATATTTTTAATTTTGTAAAAAAATTATATAAATTTTATGAATTTAAATTTTTTAAAGAAAATATATAAATATTTTCTAACTTGTTAAAAAAATAAATATATAATAAGGATAATTTGGTTAAATATACATTCTAATAATATTTTATTCCTTTAACCAAACACGGTAATATTACATTCCTGCTAAACCAACCAAACACAAATACAACATTCCTAGTAATCATATTCTCTGGTAATCTTTTATTTCAACTAACAATCTTACATTTCGTGATCCAAACGCATCGTATTATATCATGCAAATTAAGTCATACATATAGGTGACATGTGACGTGAATTTCAAAGCCCAATGCCGGTCAAGATATATGGCAGATGAAGCCAGTTGAATTACTTTAATCGACAAGTCAGTATCACGACTTAAAGCTTAAATTAAGTTAAACCACGAGCAAGCCAACATTTAAAACTCGAAAATCCTTGGCTGTAGCCTAACCACCGCCGGCGACATGGCGACTCGGTTCCTCGACAAGTGTCGGAACATGGCATCTCGGTGCCCGACACGTTTCATGGTCTCCCTCGTTCCGCCACTCTTCTTTTTCTTGGCCGTTTCATTTGCATATTTACCATCAGAGTTACAAATCCAGCATGATTTCATCATCAACGAGTCGGCTGTTTTACAAGCTTCTCATCGCCATCTAGCTAGTACCACTCACCAAGAAATGGTACAATCTCTTACCGTCTACTATTATTTCTTTTGCCATTATCTAGTCAAAGTATTAACTACATGTAGAGGATAGTCCGCCATCGAAGCCTGCAATCTTTTAGCTTAAATTTTGTTCTCAGTATGAGCAGAAGAATCTTGTGCCTTATACTTTTAAAGGATGTGATGATGTTTTGTCATAGTTCATAAATATCATATATGCTATGCTATCTTTTCTCTATAAGAGATATTGTTACCCTTTTACCTGATATCTATAAAACAGGTGAAAACTTGTAAAAATATCTACGGTATGTTCCGTTAGAAAGTTACGGACCTTATGGTTTATTCTCGTAGCCTTGCATCCAGGTATTGAAACATCACAAGCAAACGCAAGGCATTGAGTGTCTGTCCGCTGTATTTCCCAACCTTGTTTTTATGGATGTTTCCTCGTGCTTTTGTCAGGACAGTGAAAATGGCAGCCAATGTTCGAAACGCATTACTGAAGCTTCACAAATTAGACCTGCATTGCCTTTACTGGATGCCGATTTCCTTAACGATACTAAGGTGATGGATTCAACATTATGTTTTCGTCTCAGATTATCGAAGATTATCGTTTTCAATTTGATAATTTCTCCCAGGTTCTTGAGATTGCAAAGGGTGCAAAAGAGTTCAATGTCCCTATAATAAGAGCTAACAGGAAGTTGGTTGCTTCGGTTAATGGAGGGCTGCATAATCCTTCTCCTTTGGTTTTTAATCCCGAGTGGAGCACGGAGCGGTCACAAGACAAGGCCAGCGGTTTTAATCATCCTTTGCCATCTGGCATCCAAAGGCCAAATAATGAAGACGATATAGCCTTTATGAGTGTGAGCCAGTCTATAACTGTTATAAAATAGAATCCATGGCTATGATCAATTTTTCGTATGTGATCTTTCCTGATCTTTATCAGGTTCTCGAACTAGGAGAACTTATTAAGAACAAACAGATTAGTTCTGAGGAGCTTACAGGAATTTTTCTGAAGAGATTGAGAAGGTAATAGAAAATCTAGTTACATTTATGCATTTATGTTGTCTAACAATCATTTCGTCCCGCAAGTATGTTGATTATTTACTGCAAAATATCAGGTACAATCCAGTACTTGAATCCGTGGTTACATATACCGTAGATTTAGCTTACCAGCAAGCAAAAGCAGCAGACAAGTTGCTCTCTCAAGGAGTGTATTTAGGTACTTTTTGTTATTATCCCGGTTACATATCGGACATTTTAGAGTTGCAGGAAATGCCGGTTTGTGTAACGAGTCTTGTTATAATGTTTTTTTGTGAAATTGATTCTTGGCTTGAGAGTTATAAATTACTTGGTGTTTTAGGACCACTCCATGGCATCCCTTACGGATTGAAGGATATAATCTCGGTACCTAATTACAAGACGACTTGGGGCTCAACAACTTTCAAAAATCAAGTGCTTAGTATCGAAGCCTGGGTATATAAGAGGTATTATACATCCTAGAAATCTTCATGATCTATACACGGGAAGTTTTTGAAGTCTGGTTACCTTGTTCACTCTTATGAATTCTTGATGCAGGTTGAAATCTGCAGGGGCAGTTCTTGTTGCAAAGCTTGTTTCCGGATCACTGGCCTATGACGACATCTGGTTCGGTGGTAGGACTAGGAACCCTTGGAACATTGAGGAATTCTCTACAGGCTCATCAGCTGGGCCTGCTGCCTGCACCTCAGCTGGTATTCTTGATTTTAACTTCATACTAAGTATTAGATATTGTCATAGAAATAAGGTTATATCATTTTTAGATTTAACAATCTTTTTTCACGATCAAAATGATCTCGTATCTAGCAAACCAGATGTCCATTGCTTAATTCTAAGAAACTCAATTATGTGATAGGGATGGTTCTGTTTGCAATTGGTTCAGAAACAGTTGGTTCCATTACTTACCCTGCTGCTCGGTGTGGTGTGACAGCATTGAGGCCAACTTTCGGTTCAGTTGGACGTACTGGTGTAATGAGCATATCAGAAAGCTTGGTAATATTACTACGTTGAAGAATCTTGTTTGGCTGAAAGTGTTTATCCAGTCCCCAGTTTCTGCTGTAGGAGTGATTTTGAATAAGTTTCTATGCTCTCCTTGTAACAGGACAAGCTCGGTCCATTCTGCCGATCTGCTGCCTATTGTGCGGTTATTCTGGATGCCATCCGAGGGAAAGATCCAGATGATGATTCTTCAAGAGACATTCCCTTTGGTGATCCATTCTCTGTTGATATCACAAAGCTTACAGTTGGTTATCTTGATGATGCCGACATGGAGGTGATATTTCATAAACATTCGACTTATCTCGAGTTTGGTAACTTTGATAAGATGTCAATATTCTCTGGCTTTTCCTAAAACCAGGTTGTTCATGTGCTTGAATCGAAAGGTGTCAAGGTGGTTCCTTTCAAACTGAAGTACACCGTCGATTCTGTTCAAGGCATCCTAAATTTCACGATGGATGTCGACATGCTGGCTCACTTTGATGAATGGCAACGCTCTGGGAAGGATGATGATTACGAAGCTCAAGATCAATGGCCCCTTGAGTTGCGTCGTGCACGTGTAGTTTCAGCCGTAGATTATATGCAGGTCTGTCGTTTGCTCTCTGACTATCGACTGATATGATAGTTGGAAGAAATCATATAGCTTGAACATGTTTTCTAATGAGCCTGTTGGAAGAGAAAACCTCTACTTTCAACTTTGAGTTGGAAAACCGAAACCAGACTTCAAATTAGATATGGTGATTTAGGATGCCGATCATCAGCTCGAATGCATTGTAATAGGGGGCTAAGGCCTAATAATAGCCCATCTGATCATTTCGAATGGATAGTGCTCATTACGTTCATTATTTTTATGTATTTTCCGCAGGCACAAAGAGCTCGAGGAAAGTTAATCCAAGAAGTGAAAGAAAACTTTAATGTTGATGCATTCATTGGAAATGCAACTGATTGGGAGCGAGTATGCATGGGAAATCTTGTAGGTTTGCCGGTAACTGTTGTTCCGACCGGATTCAAAAACATACCTAATCCACCTCCAACAGTTACGCGTAGACGGACCACGATCAACACGGGCATTTATGCTCCTCCGAACCACGATCACATTGTAAGCCTCCCCAATCCTTATCTAATGTATCCATCATAACGATTATCAGAAATCTGGGAATCGGACTATTTTCCGTCTGATCTTATTTCCATTTTTTCGATGCAGGCTTTAGCTTTGGCAATGGCGTACCAGTCTGCCACAAATCACCATAAGCAGCGTCCCCCGATCAATGATCTCGGACCGAATGACACAGTACCGAATCCTCCCGCCGTTCCCATCCCTCCTAGACGCTTGCATCTGTAAAAGACTATATATTAAAAAACCTTTTAGAGATTTTTTTTTCTTCTTTTTCTTTCTTTCACCATATGATGATTCTGTGTAAACATCATTGCTGGTAAATTTATGTAGGCAGACTTAAGTTGTTCTAGCCAAACTGCAATTCTGAACAGAAAGTTTTGCAGGTTTAATCCATCCTTTCACTTATCAGAGTTCATATCGTCTAATTAATTTGTGTATCTATACACACCAGGTATTACTATGAATTCCACCTCCTCGACTATGAAAATAACCGAAACAATATAAATATAAAATAATGCACAAAGTAAATTTTTGAGTGGCAAGGAAGCACGTGCTAGGAATGGTTAGATTGGACTGCCTCCCAACTGGACCATATAGGACTCCTCGTTTGATTGTTTTACTATGGAACATTTAGAATATACGTTACTAGTTCATTCATGATGGAGAGGTACAAGAGGATAGAGACGTCGTCATTTCTACGTGAAACCTCTGCTCTGACTTCCTGGTAATATCGAAGAACCGGACACAACAAAAGAAGACCACCTTTTGATCTCAAAGGTGGACTAAACCTTCAAACTCTATCATCAAGATTAATGTGGACGGAACTTGTTCTACCTCTGGTAAGGTCACTACTATTGGACTTGTTGCAAGGGACTTTCATGGCATGGTCGTTGGCGGGATGTGCCGACGAATCCCGTTCCTTTTCTCCGCTGAGTCTGCTGAAGCTGAAGCTTCCACACAAGGAATTAAATTTGAAATTGAAAATGGATGGGAGGAAGCAATTATAGAAGGAGACACGACTGCAATCGTAAATAGGCTCGTTAACAACAAGGAAGATGTGTCTACAATCAGATTCTTACTCAACGAGGCTTGAGGCTACCAGCTTCCAATACTGGGTTCAACATCTTTTATGTAAATCGAGAGGCAAATAGGGTTGCTCATAGTCTAGCCTAATGAGTTTTGTCAAATCTCAATCCGGTGTGGTTTTATTATGATGAGTCGGAATGTATCAAATCGATTGTAACTGACGATGCCATCGGAATATAATGAATTCTTTTCTTCAAAAAAATAAAAAATAAAAAAATAAAACACAAAAGATAAGATATTTTTTAAGTTATAATATCATTAATTACTCGATCAAATTAATAGATAATAATTAATTTATGGTAAGTATAGAATATAGTATTAATTTGTTGTTTTTATAGAATTCTGTTAATTTTATTGAAACATAAAATATTATAATAAAATTTATAATTACAATTATAAATTAAATATATAATTAAGACTTGTTTAATAATATCATTGAGATAAGAAACTAATAATTTGAGATCATAAAGTCTATACAAGAAAAATATTTAAAAAAATTATTCGAACAAAAGATGAATGCATACAAATTTAATTACAACGATAAAAAATCATAAAAAAAATAAACTATTGAATAATGAGTCGTGTAGCATGAAAAAGATAATCTACGAACGTAAATTCAACGAGATAACAAATAAATTTTCTCTTGATCGATGTGACGTTAAATCAAATTCTATGAATCTTAAAAGGTTAGTTTGCATATTGATAATAATATATTATAAACGTAAAGATCACAAAAGATATAAATATATAACGTCTCATTAATGATATAAATATATGATATCTCTTGATTCTAAAAGTTAAAACAAATTCTTTGTTTATAAAATTAATTTCTTTACAACGAAGAATTTTTATTCTATAAAATAATTAAATACATAAATTTACTCACCAAATAATTTACAACTAGTAATTCATATATCATATTAAATATTTTAATAAAACATAAATATTATACTAAACCTTTGGAAAATATCTATATTATATTAGATATTTAATTAAAGTGAAAAGATTTCTGTTGAAATGTCATATTAAAATAATTTTAAAATATAAATATTATATTAAAATAATATTTTAAATTAAAACTATTATAATTAAATACTTTTGATAACGAAAAGATTTCAACAACTCCAGATTTTCTTTAAAATAATTCAACAAAATTGTTATTTGTTAACTAAAATAAGGGCGTGACATTAATTAGGACGGGCTGTTATTGAGCAAAATCTAAATTAATCATACTTGAAATATTAAGTATTAAACAGGGTCAAATCGGACAATAGACACCTAATTAAAAATCTAAATCTATCAAATCCTACCAAATCATAATCAATTTTGTCAATTTCATAATGGTATCTATGTAATGGCATTCCATGTAATTTTAATCAAAACTAAGCCTAATTTCATCTACCTAGTCTTCCTCTGCTTTATATATCCCCTTCTCTGCACGATCTTCCATTGCGCTTTTCCTCTCCGATCGCCGCCTCTCCTTGTCTTCTTTTACACGGTTTAATTCTTTTTAAAGAATTTATAATTTATGTTTTCTCTACTATAAGTTTGTTATTTTTAATTAAATAAGAGTTTCCGTTCTCAATTTTCCGTAGATCCAATAACAAGGGTTCGTCGTTTTATCCAGGTAAAAATCTAAATCAAATCAATGTTTTGTATTGTATCTCTTGTTGTTGTTGCATTGTATAATTTGATTTTAGATGGAGTTATTTTGCTCTTGATTTTTTTCGAAATGCAATTATTCAAATGGTTTGTTAATTGTTTTTTTGTAGCCGATCAATGTTTCTTTGAATTGTTTGTTTTATTTCTATCTCGGTGTTCCGTCGATGCATGCGTCGTTTGATTAGATTTTGATCATATGTTACAGATCCGGAAAATTAGGTTTTAATTATGTTTTATTAGTTTGTTATTATCTATTTTATTGTTGTCTTGATAAATACCGATGTTTAAAGTGAAGTTTTTGTTAATTTTGTTGTAGATCTTAGCCGTTGAGAATGGCGGCACCAGCAGCTGTGAGAACGGGATGGTACAAAGGGAGAGTCAAAGCAGTTCCATCGGGGGATTCCTTGGTGGTAACGGCGATGGCCAGTAACAGGCCTGGACCTCCACCTGAGAAGACCATTACCTTGGCATCTCTTATTGCTCCTAGACTGGTAAAACCAATCTAAATATGCCTCATTTATGTACCGCTTTATCGCTGTTAGATTTATTTGCATGTCCGTTTGGCATTTTCTTTCTGATTAATTTAGTTTTTGTTTGGAGAATGATTTTAAGAGTTACTTTTATGTCGGTTGGTGTCTTGATTTTATAATCGGTAAGTTTTAAGTTGAAAACTTATGTTGCATGTTGTTTGAGTCGAACATCATGCTAATGCTATTGCTTTTGATTTTTGCGTTTGCTTTCTCCATCTTATTTTATTAATAGGCTCGTAGAGGTGGTGTTGATGAGCCATTTGCCTGGGAGAGCAGAGAATTTTTTAGGAAACTCTGCATAGGGAAGGTGCTGCTCTCTTTGAACTATTTGTCATTTTAGTTGTGCATGATATTTGGTTGCTTAAAGTATAAGAGTGATCTAATCTAACCTGTACTTTATTCAGGAAGTCACTTTCAGAGTCGAATATGCAGTACCAAGCATAGGCCGAGAATTTGGGTCAGTTTATCTCGGTGACAAAAATGTCGCAATTTTGGTTGTCTCTCAAGGCTGGGCAAAGGTAACTTGCTTTTCATTTTGTCATAATACTTGGGAAAGTGATTCAGCTTTTCTTTTCCCCTTCTTTTATTTGAGTTTAGGTTAACTGAGCCAGGTTTGTGCAGGTCAGGGAGCAAGGACAGCAGAAAGGGGAAGCAAGCCCTATTCTTGCTGAATTGCTACGTCATGAAGAACAGGCCAAACAAGATGGTCTGGGTCGATGGAGCAAGGTAATATTTCCCCCCTTTGTAAAATGTCCATTATATTTGGACGTCTTAATTTCCTAGAAAAAAAGTAGTTTTTAAATGATCATGTTTGTTGTGGCTATAGGTACCTGGTGCCTCTGAGGCTTCTATCCGGAATCTGCCTCCATCTGCCATTGGTGACCCTAGTAACTTGGATGCAATGGGTCTTCTAGCTGCAAATAAGGGTAAGCCAATGGAATGTATTGTGGAGCAGGTTCGTGATGGTAGTACCGTTCGAGTCTATCTGCTTCCAGATTTTCAGTTTGTTCAAGTGTTTGTTGCTGGTATCCAGGTAATGTATAAACTACAGTTCAGCATATTTCATTTTATTTACTGTATGAGTTTCTCATTGTAAATATCTGCATCTTTTTCTGTTCATTTAGTCCCCTTCGATGGGTAGAAGGGCTGCTCCAGAAACTGTTGTTGAAACGGATTTGACCTCTGATGAACAAAATGGAGATGCTTCAGCTGAGCCACGGGCTCCCTTAACATCTGCACAGAGGCTTTCTGCCTCAGCAGCAGCCTCTGTTGAAGTTTCCCCTGATCCATTTGGACCAGAAGCTAAACATTTTACGGAAGTTCGCTGCTTGAATAGAGATGTGAGTGAATGAAAATTTAGGTCAACTTGTGTTCATACTTTTGTATATATAACCTAAAGTCAAGGTTGATGTTGTAGGTACGCATCGTTCTTGAAGGTGTTGATAAGTTTAGCAATTTGATTGGGTCAGTTTATTATCCGGATGGTGAAACTGCAAAAGACCTTGCATTGGAGCTAGTGGAAAATGTATGTTCCTGAATTTCTTTTGCTGCATGCCAAAAACATGTTTAATCCATTATATTAGCATAATTAATGAGTTATTGTTTTATTTTTAATGTTTTAGACTTGAATTAAGGGTATTTTTTTCCGGGTGGGGGTTTTCTATTTTTTCTTGTGCAAATTTTTATTTCCAAAAGCATTAGTTTATTGATAAATATGAAAATTCTCCCTTCTGGGAGAAGCGCACCATTCATATCTTTTATTTATGTTCACATATTCTGAATGATTGAATTCTTTCTTGCTCACATTTCCCTCCCTCCTCGCTGAACCTAACAATTTATTCTCAAAATGAAGGGTCTGGCTAAATATGTTGAATGGAGTGCTAATATGATGGAAGATGATGCCAAACGGCGTTTGAAGACTGCAGAACTTGAAGCCAAGAAAGGTCGGGTGAGAATCTGGACTAACTATGTGCCCCCAGCTACAAACTCAAAGGCGATCCGTGATCAGAACTTCACAGGAAAGGTAATAGCAGCATTTCTTTAACTAATATTTCATGTAGCTACCTTGTATAACTAGTATAAAGTTCTTGTTTTTTGTAACTATTTACAATAGTGTGATTTTTTTCTCAGGTTGTGGAGGTTGTTAGTGGGGACTGCATTATTGTTGTTGATGATTCTGCCCCATATGGAAGTCCTCTTGCAGAGCGCCGAGTCAATCTTTCAAGCATCAGGTGTCCAAAAATTGGCAATCCCCGTAGAGATGAAAAGCCAGCTGCTTATGCCCGGGAAGCAAGAGAGTTTTTGAGGACACGTCTTATTGGAAAACAGGTTTGAGTAATTTTTCTTTGGAATCTTATTTTGGAGTTGTTAGGAACCTTTATTCATCATTTTCAACATACTTCTGTCAGGTGACTGTACAAATGGAATATTCAAGGAAGGTCACCATGGCAGATGGAGCTACAGCTGCTGCTGTACCTGCAGATTCAAGGGTAATGGATTTTGGCTCAGTATTCCTCACGTCTCCGGTTAAGGGTGATGGAGATGATGCTCCTGCAGCAGTCCCATCCACATCTGGTAGTCAGCCGCCCGGCTTGAATGTTGCTGAGTTGGTGGTTGGGCGAGGCTTTGGCTCAGTGATAAGACATAGGGATTTTGAGGAAAGATCAAACTATTATGATGCCCTTTTGGCTGCTGAATCACGGGCAATTTCTGGAAAGAAAGGAATTCATTCTGCGAAGGATCCTCCAGCCATGCACATACAAGACCTTACAATGGTTGGCAATTGTATCTCTTTTAAGTTATTTGTTTTCTTTGTATATTATATTTCTAAACTTAATTCTAATATCTGTATACCGTCTTGCATACTTTCAGTCACCAGCCAAGAAAGCTAGAGATTTCTTGCATTTCCTGCAACAGAAGAGGATTCCAGCTGTTGTGGAATATGTCCTAAGTGGTCACCGTTTTAAGTTGTTGATCCCTAAGGAAACTTGTAGCATTGCCTTCTCGTTTTCTGGTGTCAGATGTCCTGGTCGTGATGAGCCCTATTCAGATGAAGCCATAGCAGTAATGAGACGAAGGATCATGCAAAGAGATGTGGAGGTATGGATGATCTCTGAACTGCTTGTTTTCCATTATCTTGTTTTTCATTTATTTTAAGGAATGTATGTTTTTCTGCACAGATTTTAGTGGAAACTGTAGATAGAACTGGAACATTCTTGGGGTCTATGTGGGAGTCGAGGACCAATATGGCTATGGTACTCCTTGAGGCTGGCCTTGCGAAGCTACAAACTTCGTTTGGTGCTGACAGGATTGTGGACGCTCATCTTCTTGACCAAGCTGAGCAATCTGCCAAGAGGCAGAAACTGAAAGTAAGACATTGTACATATTTTTTTGTCTACTTCCTTTTTGTAATGCTCGCTGAAATATTTTTGGCTTTATTTTATATGTAGATTTGGGAGAATTATGTTGAAGGGGAGGAAGTCTCCAATGGATCACCCACTGTAGAAAACAAGCAAAAGGAAATGCTAGAGGTGGTCAAGGAACTTAACTAAAATAATTACTACCTGACTGTAACATGTACTAATGAACTACTTTTCTCGTTTTTTTTCAGGTTGTTGTTACTGAAGTATTGAGTGGCAGAAAATTTTATGTTCAGACTGTTGGAGATCAGAGAGTATCTTCTATTCAGAAGCAGCTTGCATCTTTAAATATCCAGGAAGCTCCTGTGATTGGTGCTTTTAATCCCAAGAAGGGTGACGTTGTCCTTGCTCAGTTTAGCATGGATAATTCCTGGAACCGTGCACTGGTTAGTTCCATGTACTTGACTTGGAATATGTTTCATCCTTATTGCAGTTTTCTGTGAGACCTTGTAGTTGTTTGTATGGTTCTGGCTGCGGAATTCAACTGTGTTCATACCGTGTCTAGTGCAATATTTGAGTTGTTTTTTATAACCCTGAAACCAGATTTAGATATTTAAGGGTGAGCCTTGTTTTCTAAAATATTTAGGAGTCGAGATGGTTCTCTAAGTGCTATATATTAGGAATCGTGGTTATCTTCGCTGGTTGTGCAAGATTCTTATGCCATTTGAAATATATTGTGCTTTTGCCTTTCATTTCTTTTTTTATTAACTGAATGCATCTTGATTTGATTTGTGAAGATTGTCAATGCACCTCGAGGAGGGGTTGGGTCTTCAAATGACAGGTTTGAAGTGTATTATCTCGACTACGGGAACCAAGAGGAGGTTCCATACAGTCGGTTGCGGCCTATTGATCCTTCATTATCAGCAACGCCTGGACTTGCTCAGTTATGCAGTCTTGCATTTCTGAAAGTTCCAAACCTCGAAGATGAATTCGGTACCGAGGCTGCGCAGTTTTTGAGCGAGCAGACATTTGGAAGTTCTTTAAAATATAAGGCAGTAATAGAGGAAAGGGATAGCTCCGGTGGAAAAGTCAAGGGGCAGGGTACTGGTACAGTTCTCGTTGTAACTCTCTTTACGGAGGACCCGGAGGATAGCATCAATGCAGCAATGCTGAAGGTCTGAACGATATATCATCCCTTTTTCTGATTCTAGAAAAATCTTGATACACCGTATTCATGCTTATGTTTATATATGATTTGTTTTTAGGAGGGACTTGCTAGGTTGGAGAAAAGGAAGAAATGGGAACCAAAGGATAGAAAATTGATGCTTAATAAATTGGAGGAGCATCAGCAGGAGGCAAAAACTGGCCGCCGTGGGATATGGCAGTATGGGGACGTGGAGTCAGATGACGAGGATTCACTTCCTCCGGTTGCAGCTAAGAAAACCGTAGGCCGGCGCTAGGTATTGGTAATATTTTTATCAATCATGTTGGGAAAGAGGAGGGGGGGGGTTGAACACATGAGGAGTTCAAAGTGAATAGGCGCGGATCATTCTCTCCCCCCAAATAAAATCTCCACGTAAACTTTTGCTTAAATTTTGACTCTTTTTCTAATTTCATTTTTGTTTTAAATTAAGAGAGACGTTTTGAAATAAGGTGGAACTTGGAGGACGTGTTCTGTTTCCCAGCGGGAGACCCATAGAAACAATTTTTTAATTTACGTCATAGTGTTTTTTTTCTATATTATTTATATCGGTTATGGAATCTTCCTTTTTCCTTTATTTATCTATATATTTATTAAAGATTGTGCTTTGGATGTCAAAACGTATTAAGTCAACGTATATGTTAGGACGAGAGCATCAAATCCTCACGTGACGATGTGGGCAATGTAGATCACTCATTGGTCGAATGATTGATGAATTACGACTCTTAGATTGAATACTGCTGTCACATTTCAATTTTTTTTCTCGAACAAGACGTGAATAGGGATGAGCGTTTGATTGAGTAATATTTTTTGATTTGTTTGAGTTTAACAGAGTTTATAAAATTCGAGTAAAGTTGATTCTGACATTTTGAGTTTTTATTTAAATTTAATTGTGAATATTTATAATATTATAATATTTTTTGGTTCTAATTTAAGTTAGTTTTTATAATCATATATATAATACAAATATGTTTTTACATATTTTTTTGGCTTAATACAAAAATAAGTGTCTAAAAATATCTCGAAAAATGTTTTAGTGTCTAAAGAATTTTTTTATTAAAAATGGGTGCGTAAAGTTTTTTCTATTATACTTTTAAGTGTTTGCTATTAAAAAATCTTTAAGAGACGTGTCACGTTCATATATATATTTTTTAAAATAATTTTAAAAAATATGTTTTTTTTTAAAAAATTGGACGTGACATGTCTCACTTAACGATATTTTTAACAGTATGCACTTAAAGGTGTAACAGAGAAAACTTTAAGTGCCTATTTTTAGTGAAAATTTTAGGCATCAAAAGTTAATTTTGAATATAGTTTAGTAACTTATTTTTACATTAAGCATACTTTTTTATTTGTGATATACATATATCATACAAAGTCTAAGGACTCGACTTAAACTTAAAAATAAATCTATTAATTACTAAAAATTTTGAGTTATTCGAGCTGCATTTTACAACTCGATTTTAACTTAATTTTTTTCCGAATTATGTCGAGTTTTGCTCACTCCTACATATGAATCACAAATATGGAAAAAGAAAAGTTTAGTATAAAAGCAAGTGTTGAAACTATATTCCTCTTTCTATTAAGACGTGTAAATTAATTTTCGGTCAATACATGAATTTAATATTTTTAATGTTATATATTTTAACATATTAATAGATGTTTGGGTTGTCATGGTTGTTAAATTTTGTCGATGTCACCTTTATTTTAAAGGTTTTGTTTAAATTTAAAAAATTAAAATTATATTTTTTTATGAAAATGTTCAACATTTTATAAAATTATAAAGAACCTCAAAATCTTTTTAAATCTAAATTCGATTCCTTTGTCACTATCGATCACCTTTAATGTCGTCAAACAAATGAACACTCAATGACGTATGATCGACCAATTACCCACGACTAAAATTCTCTTAATTTCACAATCAATCAAACATCCAATGGCTGTGAAAATTAAGATTTTGCTATCTTCGATTTCACGGTTGTTGATTTTCACTACAATTAAAAGTTTGAGGAGGTAATTTCAGTCGTTGGGTGTTCAGTCAATCACACGTTGTTGAAACTTTGGCTGGTTGATGGTGTTGGTGACAATCGACGGTGATAAAAAGATTGAAACGAGGAACAAATGGGATTTTATAAAAATAATAAGTTTAAGTGTTTTCTTAAAGTATTTAAAATTTTATAAAGATAACGTGTCATCTAGCGGTAGAATTTAATGACTTCAATGATCAGATACCTAACAATATAACATTGAAAACGTTATACGGTTAAATTGATCTAAAAGTAATTTAAACACTCAAATAAAAAAAATATAATTTAAACACTTATTTTTATATTAAAAAAATCTACACCGTCTACTTTCCATGCGTCGGTTTCTTCATTTCCCTCTCTCTGCGCAAACCACAAGCACTTTCGGTGGGTTTATAGATAAGATCGACCATGGAGGATTGACGGTGAGAGTGTAGAAGGTGATTCCTTGCCACAACTCATATGAACTTGACTTTTACGTATGATTGTTCAGATTTTATTTTGCAAAATCTAACGTTCTATTCTTTTCGTCATGAATATCACCCTTGGTAAATATAATTAACGGAAATCTTATTAAAAGTTCAAAACATGAGATCATCCACACGAATCAAACTATATCAGTGATTATAAAAAAAATGATTGTTATTTTTAGAGATCTCATATTCGAACATCTGAAAATACAAGAGTGATGAGATTTTATTATCAAATTGTTGAAAATCTTTAGATTATATACTATTTTGTAATCATTTTAAATTAATAAAAAAATGTGATTATTGAAAAAAGAATCACATTAAAATTAAGTATACTATTTATATGATTGAATTTTTAATTATTTTATCGGTAAATGTTGAAAACAAATCGATATTATTTTATTGAAAAAATCATACAGAAATGAAAAAAAATATACTTGCAAGATTTGAATCGAGAACATGGCTATAAAAAGTTTAAGGCTAAATATAAAAATAAGTGTATAAGCTATACTTCGATATACAATTTGGTACTTAAAGGATTTTTCGTTAAAAATATGTGTTTAAAGTTTCCAACATTACACTTTTAGGTGTTTGGACTGTAAAAACCATTAAATTTAGTCGTTATCTGACACATGTCACAAAATTATTTTATTTAAAAAAAATATTATAATTTAAAAAAAAAAATCAAATTTTACATTTTTTGTTGTTGGTCGGCCATCGTCGGTCCGTAGCCGTCACCGTTGATACTATCAGAACCGTCTTGTCGTTGCGACCAAAACCTATTCCCCTATCCACAGTGAAACTATGTCAATCGTCATGAAAAATGCCACAAAGGGCCGTCGAATTTTTAGATTTTTCTTTAAAAATTTTCGACGATTTCGACGCCTACATTCGTCCGTACGTTACACAACCACCATTGTTGTGTTCATCGTCGTGTTCCAAACGATTGATGGTGACTATTCGCGTCAAAGGTGGGGTGACAGGAGGGAAAGGAACAACGAGGGGAAAGGGGGTATTGATTTTTTTAATATTTTTGAGGAAATAATATTTTTATTATTAAAAAGTTAAAAAAAATATAATTGTAGACACCTAAAATTATAACAAAGAAAACGTTAGACACTTATTTTTAACGAAAAAATTTTTAGGCACTAAATCATATTTCGAGACATAGTTTAATCACTTATTTTTGTATTAAGTCAAACTTTAATGCGTAAAAATTCAACCAACTTAAAATCTTTGAGTTTAACTAAAATATGTCTGTTTTAAACTAGGGGGTGTTAAAAAAAATTTGATCTAATTGACCCAGACCGTCAACCTGCCAACCCAAACATAAAAAATCAGATAATTCTCTAAAAAATTATCCGACTGGGCCGAGTACTCGACCCATGAATTTTCCCGAGTAGTTAGGCTAAGTCTAGGCAAAGGTTTTTTATAACCGGGTATCCGACCCGACCCAATAGTTTATATATATATACACACATAGTTTAAATTATATTTTTATTTTATATTCCTTAATATTTTTATCTTAAAATTAAATTTAAATCCTTAAATTTTTCTTAGGTTAGGATATGTACTTTTAAGTTTTGAATTTTTCAAAAAGTTTATATTAATTTGTCATCTATGAGATTAGAAAGAAAAAATCACGATCGATTTTAATATTTTTAATGTTTTCTTTTGGAAATAACCTTTAATATATATACACAAAAATATTTATCCTTAAAACTAACTTCAAATCACTAGTTTTTGTGTATAAATTGTATATTATGAACTTTTAAATTTTTATGTATTTCCTATGTGATTTTTTTAAAATTAAATTAAAAATATATCGAGTATATGTCACTAGAAAATACGGGTACCCAAACTTAACGGGTCAAATAATGGGCCGACAAATATACTATCCGGAGAATCGGATAACCGATACTTCGATTACCTGAAATGCGGTACTCGATACTTCGGTTACCCAAAAATGCAGTACCTAATTTTAAACACCCCTATTTTAAACTACAGGTGAGACTAATATGGTTTTTAAGGTATAATATCAAAAAGAATTCTCAATATTTATTAAAATAATTATTTTTATTTTTTTTACAATTTTATCCTTAAATTTTAAATTTTAACTTTCAACTTGATTTTTCTTTTCAAAACATTTTGACCTTTTACGTTTAAAAATCTCATATTTTAGAGTGTAGCAGTTTGTTAACTAACAATTTTTATGTAATCTTTTACTTAAAATAAAATGTTGGATGTCAAAATATTCTAAAAAAGAGAATATTAACCAAAATGACTATTTAAATAAATATTAAGAGTTAATTTTAATATTATAATTGAAATAATTAAAAAATTAATAATATAATATATAATATTTAATGACATCCGATAGAGTTTAAAAACTAACTATAACACATGAATTTGTCTTATCAGATATTTTGCCTTTTTGTTGTTGGAGACTGAGGTATTGCTCTGTTGAAACATTTTAATATTTCGATATAACAAATTAAGTTAAATGGATTTTAAGATTTTCCAAATGATTTTCTAAGTATATTCGATATAACTATTCGAATATCAAAACATTACTCCAAATATTTCAAAAATCATTTTTGATCCTTACTTAAGTGTAAAATTAAGTTTTAATCATAAAACAATTTCAAAATAATTTTACAAAGTATTTCGAACCAATTCAAAGCCAAAAATTCCAGATTGCTCAGAGGGAACCGATTCCCCCCATAGGAGGAACCGATTCCCCCCTAAATGGTTTGGCTCCGAGATTTCCAGAATGCTCGGAGGGAACCGATTCCCCCCAAGGGGGTACCGATTCCCCCCTGTTCAACGGTCGAAATATTTGAATTTTACACTTAGGGAACCGATTCCCTATGAGAGGGAACCGATTCCCCCCACGCTCCAAGCTGTTTTATTAAATGTTTTCACACTAACACGGCTATAATATCTTCTCTAATTATTCCCAACGTTCAGAAGTGATCCAAGGTGTATTTAAGCAAGCTTAGAAGCCATTGATCAATAACAA